TTGTATTATAGTTCGGAGAAAGCTATGTAGAGACAGTACAAATGTTTTAACTCATATGACTCTCAATCTAGATGCATCGGTTTGTGGTATAGAAGGTAAACCTGGTACTCAACAATCAAGTACATAGGTAGGGATCTCGAACAATAATATACGTCATGTATAAAATAATAATATATTGGGATAGTTAAACAGTAATCCATATCCTTGTCCACTAGTGTAAACTCAATACAAATAACCGATAAAGTCTTACTATAAACTCGCAGACCTCTTACCCAATTTTAATTTTGGTAATTATACTAGGATCTATCGAAAGTTTTATAATCAGAGACAAACCTGGACTTGCTAACCTATTTAAATATTCGTTAGACCTCTGGAATGCATAACAGGTATCCTTTAAAGTAACAGCAGTAATAACTAGGAATGTAAATAAAGTGTAAAAATATATGCTTTTAGGTATATATGACAAGTGGGCGCTTCTCCCTTTCACAAAAGGAATAACCGCCTGGTTGTAGTTATGAATGTGGATATGATTTATTGGTTATGTTTGCACAATCATAGCTTCTATTCGTCTTTGTATATGCTAACTTTTTAGTAGTGAAGTACTTTAATGCGATTAAGGCAGGATAAACATAAAGAAGTACCAACAATAGAGAGCAGAAATACCCTGTAATGTATTCAGGAAGTTCGACAATTGTCTCGACACGGTTTAATACAAACTATCTAATTAGGATTACTCCCAATAATAAGTGTTTCTATTGTTGATGTTAATAATGAATAGTAAGTACAATTGAAAATTATTTATATCTATTAACATGTGCGGGTCTACAGAGTATAAATGATTAGAATAAAGGAAAGATCGGTACTTATTTGACAAAAACCAGCTACGTTTCAATAACGAAGGTATTCACCAAGTGGTCTACAAAGAATATAGCAGTAATAGAAAAATATGTTATTGTCAGAAATTGAACACTAATAATTTCAAATACTGATAAGCATCTAATAAATCACTAATGGTATCAATATGGAATATATCGGTTACTTTATTCGATGATATTCAATAATTATTCTCCTGAATTCATCAATCTAGAAGCAAAATATCTGGTATAGGGTATTCGATTTATTTAGTCATCACATTGTCTTTCCACGTTAATAGTAATCTTTCATTTATTTGTTTTATAACGGTATATCTTACATTAAGCCTTCAATTGATCTTTGGAATAGTTCGAATCTATTCCAAAATATGACGTGAAAATTGTTTCTAGAACTTGCTTATATCTTGTCATTTCGAAATGACAACAGCATTTAACCAAATTCGATAAAGCCAAGCCTTGAACATTTCACTTCGAATTAGCTGCAAAATAGAAACTTAAATATTCACATGGAGATTAAACTCAAGATAACTGTCCGTAGCATGAGTGCGTTTCTACCAATATTCTTAAGCAGGATGCTGCTTAAAATGTAGTTTGTACTCTCAGTGAAACTTATCAGAATATATATAGGTTTTCTCAAGTGCTCAATTTTTAATAACAATCCAATGTGTCTATCGCTACATTAAAATTTCCACTTTAAAAAGGTATGTCTTATTTTAACACTCACTCATAAATATATCCCAAGTCCCTTCGCTTCTTTGTCTTTTCCTGTCCTCTCATCCTCACTCTTATCTTTTGTCACCTGGCCAAATGATTTCTTCGTTCTATCTGATTTTTTTATTTTAGATACACAACTCAACTTATACAATTGAAGAGTAAACAGTAAAATATTTGGGGTAGAATGTTTATTAAAAGTATAAACTACGTAATATATACATTAAACTACACATGTACAGAACCACATTACAACTAGGCAATGACACAGTTGCATGCACAGGCGGCTCCGGCACAGGCAGCACCTGCAACTGCGACACCTGCAGCACCTGCAGCAGCACCTGCTAGTAATAAACAACAGTTATCTTTGTTTTCTTGTTTGGTTTGAGTCTTTTGCATCTTGTGTGTATTTGGGTATGGTGGAGTGCTTCTTATGGAAAGTGAGGAAAATAAGAAGATTGGAAATATGGCAACATAGAAGCATGAAATAGCTATCCTATTTATATAAATTGAAATCAACTGGTTCATAGGATCGAGGAATAACCAATTTCCTCTCACTTCATAATTTATTTCCTGTTTCAGAATAACAGTCATGCTACTTGATTGCCTAATGTGGTAATATTTTATCATACATATATACAGACATCCACATTCAGCCGGGTTTAATAAAATTTGCTTCACCTACCTAGAGTCGTGCATAATAGACCTACTTGTTCTTGTATTTACTGAATAGAATAATTCTCCAAACCATAAAATCTCGTTGTTATGACAAGGACTCCTTGGGATCTGTGCAGGACAGTCATTCATGTCACATACATTCTTCATTCCATGAGATCGCCTTGTTGTCCGTTTCCCAAAGAGGTATTTATTGCGGACGTGATGTAACGACATATTTCTGTATCGAACAAACTGGATCTTCAATTGAGGAACCGACAGGACATCTAGTCCTGTCGGTTGGATTGTAAACGAAATGTGTTGATTAACAGAAAATGGAACATGACAGATCCAAAAACGAATGTATCATATTCAGTTTCAACATTCTCGATTAGAACGTTATTTTATATAACTTTAATAGTATAGCAAATCAAACACAACCATGATGTAATATAACCATGTTTGGTATAAATGAGATGCTGTAATGAGATTGTATTTGTAAGAGATACAATTTTATAAGAAGTGAATATTAAATTGAGTTACAACCAATAGCATCTAAAAGATAATTTATATATCTATTATGTTCTATTTCTAGTACACAACTTAGAGATAAGCCCAATATTACTGCGATAATCAAATTCATATCCTTCTGTGCCAGCAATATTGCCACTTCTCATAGGTTTCTCATAGACATATCAAAATATAGGATGCTGGACATAGGTGCTTCAAACTTAATCTTTTTCAACCTTCTCTTAGATACTCAAGTTGCAGTTACGCTAATAATTCATATTCATTGGTATCGTGTACATATAAGTATATAATATTACAATGTTGCGTTAATACTCTGATAAATTAAACAAGAAACCCAGTACTGTAAGCAAAGCACATCAGTGTTAAACTCCAAACAAAGATCGAAGCGAAGGTACTATGACTCTTAATGGTATATGACCCATTCTTGTGTGAAGAAACAGTGCTGTTGGAATGGGTTGAACTGATGGAGGTACTTTGACTGACATGAGTCGAGATTGTTGAGCTAGTCTTACTGGCTTGTATAGAGGTACTTAAACTAGCACTCTCTTTTGATGGTTTTGAAGTAGTGGCTCTTTCTGAACTTGCGACACTACTACGACTGCTCGAGGAGAGACCAAACGACGTTTCGACAGAGGATGTTGAAGTCTCGTTATCAGAATCAGACAATTTTAAATCACCATTAGATTTGTAATATGTAAAATTGTCAAATGGATGTAGGAATAAATCGTATTCCCTTAACTTCTGATAATCCCATTCTGGTGCACTTTCAGTTTTCCAGTTCCAGAAGAACCACCCCTTAGTATAAGTATTGAAATGTGATAACTGAGTTTCAATAAACTTTCTGACTTGAATTTTGTATTCTTCAGGCCATTCTTCAATCCGGTTTTGAGAAACACAGGTATAGTTATCATAGTTTTCATAGTTTTCATAGTTTTCATAGTCCTGATCTTCTTCATCATATGTATAATCATAGATTGATCCATAACCAATACCATTTGCCCATTTTGCACAATCACTTATCGCACCACTACAGGAAGCTATGAACGTAATAGGAAATTCAGGCTTATCGGTTATATTCATACGGTACCTGAAAGAGTCTGCAATTAAGTCAATAAATTGATCAAAGTCATAAGAGTGGGATGATGATAAACTATATAACAAATGTGAATTATCAGCTTCAGCTAGATATGAATCTGATTTATATCCAGCTCCCTTATAATAAGGACTAGAACTATTATAGAAGTCGAGATCTAAGTCATGATATGTCATGTTATATACCGCACCATTATTCTGAACACTGAATGTAATATTTGGATTTGGGTTACTGATACTGTCCTTTTTAGCTTGGTAGTAGTCAAAAAGATCGGTATAAAAGTCAATCTGATAGGATTCAAGTTTTATGACACCTAGAGTCGGGGAAAATGTAACTTCCAAACTGGCCAAAGAAGATGGATAATCTATATGTAAAATACAATCAAAATAATCTTTTAGAATTACAGAAATTACTTCTGTTGCATTTTCGTGTTTCCAAAACATATAATCATTAAATTTATGATCATCAAAGTAATTTGTTGAATTTTGAACTGCATAAACATTAACAAACACTTTCAAATTATATTTCAATGCCCAGTCTAAAGCCTTGCTAAGGTACTCTTTTTGATTGCTATTCACGTAAGGATCGCTGAAAGTCTGATTCCCTGGATACAAATTAGTTTCATTGTCAATCTTCCAAGCCCAGTACCCAATAGGAATCTTGACATAATTGAAACCTTCTTCACTAATCTTCTTAAAGTCTTCTTCAGTAATCCAGCTTTTGAAATGATTGTCTAACAGTTCCTTGGCATCATCGTATCCCAATGCTTCACACAAAGTGTATTCGTTAATAATAGTTACGTTTGATCCTTTTTTCTTTGCCAGATCCACGTCGTTCTCGTACAGTGATGGAGTGATGTAAGGTTCAGTCACCAACCAACCACCAAGATTAATACCTTTATACTTACCATGATATTCTGGAATTATTCCACTGTCTTCATCTTTTCCTAATGCATTGTTATCAATATTGAGACTGAAACTCAAATTGAAGAACACAGATAATAGTACAAATATATTTATGCCTAGAATATTCAAACAATCAGTTATATAGTGCAACTGAAATACACTTTATTATATTTCTACAGAGAAATTGGCATCTAATAGTTCTTGAGTTTGGAATTCGACAAACAGTATTAGTAACTGCCATCATTCCTGTATTTATACAATTTCATACCTTTAATTTTACAAGATAGGTAAAGACTGGATGCAGTTGTGGAGAAGGAATGAAAATTTTTCGTTCCTTTTTTCTCGGCAGTTTCCACCTTCTATAGATACACTGCAGTTGCCGGGAGGAACCACAGCAATGTATTCAGGTTAACCAAGATCTCGAGATTGGGCTGTAATAACTCTGCAGAACTTAAAATCATTTCGGGCAATTGCGTGGATCCGTGCATAACCTTTTTATTTCCTCTTAAGGCAAACAGTCGAAAGGAACAAGGAACCAGTGGATGTACCGCAGAGACACTCAGTCTTTTCTTTGAAAAGGTATAGTATTTGTTGATCGCTAGGTTGGTTCCTTCGATATTAGGATCTAGTTGGTATACTTCGAGTAAGCGATGGTGTTGTTTTCATTCTTCTATTTTTCTATATTATGGAGACTAGTACAAGTGAGTAGATATAAATATTATCAAAAGAATTCTATATTCTTCTTCTAATGTACAGGGTAAGTATTTTATTTACAATTATATGAATTAATTTGTAATAGTGGTCACTATTCATTTTTATTAAAGTCAATAATAATATAGTGTCTTTTTTTTCCCTACATATATCCTTTGTTTAAATTTCTTCCATTAACCCTTAATTAGGAATTTTAGTATATGATCAAAATAGTCTATACTTTATAAATATTTTCTGGTTAAAAATGTTTTCTATAATTAAATCATAATAAGCGTTGTTACATAAAATATCCGAAAACCATATTATCTGATTCTAAATATTTAACATTGATGCAATAAGTATTTATCTAGGGAAACAAACCGTTGGTATAAGTACTTGAGGTTACTAGTTATAAGTACTTGAGGTTACTAGTTATAAGCTCTATGTGGTCATCAAACTATTATAATAAGTATACAGTAGTATTTAATATATTAAGATGTCTATTGTCTTTGTTTAATAACAAGAAGGGTATATCTTTACTTCAGGAACTATTTCCTTTATATATTTCATATTCGCGAGTTATTGCCGTCATTATACTTAAAGAAGTCAAGCCAAATTATTTTTCTTTTTGTACCGTTACTTCGTACTAAAGCTGAATCAATACAGTATTAAACTACACTCAATAATTTCTTCTTCCACGTCAAAATTGAAAATTACTATTTACCTAAAATATAATAATTAGATTATTATCTCTATATTGAATCAAATAAATAAGACAACTTTAACCACGGTCGAAATACTATCGACCGCTCTTTCGTTATTTCAATAGAACAGTTCAGTCCAATCTCAGCCCACATATTTTTATTGAAACCTATTTTATCTAAACCTTTTCAACACCATAAACATACATCTACTAGCATAATCAACTCACTTGGTTAATTGATTCCAACTTTTTTCATACTAAGATGCTCAATACCTCATAGGTTCTCTTTGATTAACACCTTGGCTTTTTATTTTTTTTGGTTTAAAGTATATCTGATTGTACTCACGAGCCACAATAATATTTCATAATGTCGTTTACGTATCAAGAGCGATAGAATATTTGACTCACAAAACCATATAAAGATATGCCCACTACTGTAATTATTGAGCCCAATGACATTAAATATACTGTGTGTCAAATAAACCAGAATGTCAACAAATTGCCACTGTCTTTATAGGTTATATCTCAAGTATATCTTTGATGCTAAATTTAATTCTCTTAAATATGCGAATATTCCGAGATGGTAGGGTAGTTATTAAAAAATTATAAAAGTGATTGTCGCTTAATTTAAGCTGTCATTAAATAAAATTGCCTTACTTAGTCATAACAGATTGTTAAACATAAATATGGGAACATCCACTGAGTTTTCAATGTTAATAGTTTTAGACTAGTTTTTACCAAGAAAAATTTCATCAAGATCTGTAACATAGTCATTTTTTCTATTCTAAAAGAAAACTAGCAAAAAGACTTCTGCTTGAAGACCATTATGCGCTTCAAAAAGAAATTGGATTACTTAAAATTTGACTGAATACAATTTAATAAAAGAAGAATATATGTTTGATTTTTGGTCCTCTTTCGTAGATTTCTTAGTATGTTCTCAAAGGTAAATATTATAAATAACATAAAAATATAATCCAAAATGAGTATAAGTGTCATAACAGTCTAGAATATCATCAAATAATTAGAAAAGGTGTAATCAGGAGTTACAGAGACAAGTTATAGTCATGAAGAAATAATATGATTTTTATGATATAAAGATCTTGGTATTTTTTAACAATCCACAAAATATATTTTCATCGAAACTTTGTTTATACAGCAATATTTATAACTACTCATGAACCTAATCAGAAAATAATTATGAATAAATAATTCAATTAAGAAATAAATTGTTTTCATTGGAACATGAGAAACCCAATTTTGGTATTAACAGAAGTACTGTGATAAATTTTATTTGGTAGTGGATGGATAAAATGAAGAAATTTTATTATATTAAAATGTCTTAATCTCAAAAATATTACATATATCTACTAGGATATATTCACAGTATATATAAAAAGTTCTTTATTGTTAACTTAAATCAGAGTTTATTTCATTCTTGTTTATACTATATAAACTACAGTAACTGAAGATGTTTTATTTTGAACTGTACCCGCCAATTTTGCCTCTTTTATATTGAAAATTGATTTCTTATCTTGAAAAATAACTCCAAATCACAATATATATATCGAATATCACTTACGGATAAAGTATAATAAAAAACAGAATAATAGACTAAATTTTTGAACTCTACTTAAATCTTAATAAATCAATTTATTCGTTGATTGTTTCAACATATTGATATCGAGGAGAGTTTATTTATATATTCTCATTAAGCGTATTAATACATTTTTACTATTCAAAAAATATTTAGAGGACATAAAAAATACCTAAAAGTCGACCTTTGGGAACGAAATTCTATTATAAATCAAAAAAAAAACAGTCTACTATATTTTATACTAAAATTAATGTCAAAATATATACTAACATAACACCACATAGGTATTAGAAAAAAAAATATTTATTACAAAATAGTTTATATAAAATATATACCAATAAATTAGGGTTACATTTTAATCTTAGTAATCTATTTCATAATAAATAAAGTTATATATAAATGTATTATTTTCTTTTAACAAGTTGTTTAGACAATAATACAGTCACAGCCACAGCCACAACATCCATTACCATGACCCCCATGATGACCCCCATGACAATTATCTTGGTTTTCAGATTTCTTTTCGGTTTTTTGCATTTTTGATCTGTATACTTGTTAAATTAGTATTGGTTATTTTTTACAATCTAATAAGATTAATTAAATCTATTTGAAATGATATTTTTGAATATATAAAAATTATCCTAGATATTTATACCATTTTTTTTTATCAAAAATAAACATTGTAAATTTAAATTGATGCTGAATATTCTAAAACGTGAGAATCAGGTAGATTCAAAATATATTTACTTCTTCTCAATCAGTCTAAAGTTTTAATTATAACAAGTGTTCATTAAAAATTGATCCTTAAAATCCACTATAATAGTCAAGAAATTCGTTCTTGTAGAACATAATTCTCGTTTAATTTTAATTAATGCAATTTGATTCTATGTTTAGAATTCTAAATTACAAGAACGCCAAGCAAGCAATTACAAAAGTTTAAAATGAAAACCACTATTAAAAAAATATATTCAGGGATTACTTAGTGTTTGAAAAAATTACTGCATTTACAGTTTCGTTAATATATGCTAAGATAGTAATATTAACGTTGTTTGTTTCTGAATTCTCTCTACTTTTGATAGTTATTAAACTTGTTCTAAGCTTAATTTAGAAGTATGGCCTAAGGTTCGAGTTTTAATTCAATTAGTTACTTAAATGAACTCGAATAACCGAATTAAACTTATACTATGGATAATTATGCTTATCTATACAAACTTTATTTTTCTAATGATTTTTACTACGGTGATAACTCAAGCCATTGTTCGATACCGGAAATAATTTCCTAATACTAACAAAACACCTATCCAAAGAACAAAAATTGTTATTAATCTACATTGACCCCAAAAATAATTTACATTATTCTAAGAGCTATCGCATAACAGTGATTTAAAAATTAACAATAATTAGTCACATATACATTCTCCATTTCAGAGTCACTAGGGACAGTTAAAATTAATTTAAATTTTTTCCAATCCCTTCGATCTCTTCTTATTAAAAATATCCACTTGATTTTTCAGATAATTAGAGACATCTGGCAAGTTACTTTAGAAAAAT